CTTCCGTTCGGATAACACCTTGGCGTGTCTGGCATAGAAACATTTTGCACTTGGTCCCATCCGACCAGAGGTTGTGAACACTAGAGGAATGAAGCTGCCCTGATCAACATTCAGAATTCTCTCCCCATTTGCCCTGTTCTTGTCATTCTCGTTCCTCCTGTGTGCAGCATCGAGAGCTAAGTTACGGTGACATGCGGCCATGAGATCGAAAATCTTTATGTCAAAGAAGGCTCACTGTCCCCGCGTCCAGAATCCTCAAGGACTAACACCCACACGGGCTTCGTTGGATGTGTTTGAAGTCCTGTGATGGAAATTCTCACCGTCCATTGGAGGGAGGGTTGGTTCTACCCTGACATTATGGCAGATTTCCTTCAATGTATTTACTGTGAGATCCCTTACTTCGTCATGCCTCATGCATTTTAAGCTCCCTTTTTTGCACACCATGGCATGGTCGTTGTCATAGGATGAGCCACACACGCATTGGGAGGGCAAACCTTCTACTGGCCTACCGTACCTTAGAGCAATGGCATCTGTGAATTCTTGTTAATTAAGGCTGAAACCTTTTACCCTTATTCATAACGTTGTTAGCCAGTTTGAGGCACCCACCTCCTGTGATGTAGTTACATTTTTTTTCAAGTTCTCAAGCACTTGCAGCAGCAGATGCTGCATTTTATCACTTTGGGTGTGTTGTCGATCTGCTGTAATGGACCGTCGAATCTTGTATAATTCCTTGGTATTCGCCTCACTTGTTGCATTCTGAGCTATTAAGTTCTCTGTGAGGGCTGCCGTGAGCCTGACTGAGTTCTGATGTTCGGTGGCAACAAGCTCCTCTGGATTGGTTATTCCCATTCCTCCCAGTCTCAGTGGTAGTGCAAGGATTGACCTTTCTGCTGGGGTTATTTTGGAATAAAATTGAGGCTGATGGCTTCTACCAGAGGGTAGAGGAGGGGGTCCAATAGCAGGGATAGTGCGCATCAGTTAATTCCAGCGATGCTTGACTCCATGGGTGAATGCCGCAAAAGCCGCACGTGGCTCTGTTTTAGCAATATCAGACAGAGCTTGGATTTCCTTCACCCACTCATTTACCTCTCCCGTTACGTACTCAGAGTTGAAGTCCTTCGTAACAATTGCCACACCTAGGTGTCTTTGGCCTTCCTTTTTTATTTTTATTTCACTTCCACCGAATACCTCCATTGCCCGTTCATAATGTTCTGGCTTCACAATGAGGAAGGACTTGCTGGCATTTGGGTGGTACCCTATTTGTGGACCACGTGATGATATCAGGTCCCATCACTTTTTGATGTCCTTCACTTTTCCTGCTCCTGTAAGGTCGTCAGCATAAGCCACTTGCTTGACTGCTGTTGTTTCCAATTTTATTGTGTGTTGGAGCACGGATAGGCCTAGTGCGTACATTGCCATTGCAACAACAGGGTCCCCCTGTGGATGTCGGTCACACAAGAATAACCCATTATAGTACCCCCTTCTTTCCTCACACAGCCAAATAGTGGAATGCTCTGCCTTCTTTTGTGTTTCCATACTTATGCAATCTGTCTCACTTTAAAAAGCTGGTTTTCCGGCATCTTCATGGTGTAAATTAACACAGTACAGAATAACCTTTTTCTTCTCTGTTTTCAATTTCTTTCTGTTCTTTTTTTTTTGCCCCCCAGGCCCCGTTATGGGTGTTTGGCCTGTGCCCGGGTGGGCTAATTCCCGTAAAAAAAAAAAAAATAAAAAAAAATATGCAATGTTTACAGTTCACGTTCGACATCAGATGCTCAATTGATTCGTGTCCTTTGTTTGTGTGTTTTTTGAGAGGTACTCTGTAATTTTTTTTGTTTTTGTTTTTTTGTTTTTTGCAATTTTAGCTGTTGCCCATAAATACTGTATGAAAAGAATAAGTAAAAAGAATGTTTCGTAGTGATTACTAATAACGGTTTACATCACGTGATCAGTTGAATCGTGCGGTTTCTGTCAATTACTCCGTGATTTTCGCTATTTCCTCCAATTTTGTAGTGTTAGCTATGAATATGGAAAGACAAGGTGAGAAGAATGTTTTCAAGAAGTGTTCTGGTGATCAAATTGCCGGTGGTGAATGTAAAAGAGGTTTACAAGAACGCAACTATCGCGTTGTAGCCCGTGCCATCCTAGCGACCGCCCGGGCTGTTATTGTGTGCTTTTTTGGGTGGTGATACCACCTGTCGAGTCAAGATAATGGCCTCTACCTCTACTGGGGGTCCTACTGGTGCTGGTGGGGGTGGGACAGACCCACCTAAGTGGCCAAATAAGGAAAAGGAGAAGCGGGACTATCATAAGGGAGTTAAGTTTGCCAAGTACTCAATGCAGGGTAAGCAGCGTGTGATTAAGTTACTTGAGGAAGGCCTAAAAACTAGTTTCTGGAAAGCACAATCAAGTCAATAAAGGCTGAATTTGTATCATTTGGAGGTTATAAATGGAAAAATCAGAGGTTGATGTAGAGTGGTCAGTCTATATTGTTATTTTTCCCATTAGTTTTTGTATTTGCATTTGGCGAATGTGAATTTGGCGCAATTTTTCCAGTCTATATTACTCGTGAAATACAAGATCTTACTGTATGCCGTATCACTCTACGAACGTGGCAGAGTGTATTTCTTGTGTTTACCCAGAACCATCAACTCGTCCATTAAATGCATCACACATGTGCTGTATAATTTCTGACTCCTTAGCTTTTAGAATTACAGTATCTTTTTTACCCCTGTTTAAGAGCTAGAGTTGCTTGCTGTGGAGAAATCTGATCTTCAGCCTATTGACCAAGCTGCTAGTAGGTCAGGGCTTCCCTGGTTCCAAAGACCAAGCCTTCAGCGGGCTTATACATGAGTCTTTTTCTCCAGTATCACTTGTAAACCCATATTTCAGGATCAGTCCTACATTTCTGGTGTAGCTCTGTGATTCTGTCCTGACTTTGTTCAATCTATTCATGATGACATTGTGAGACTCAACACGGTTCTAGGGGTATATTACCAATACACCCATATGTAGTTAGGTTGCTGCATTCAGACAGATACTGTCTCCTTTTGGATATACTGTACCATACTCCTCTTGTTTCTTTTGTTTATATCCAGTCCATCTTACTTCTTTTATTCAAAGCTTTGTATCATTTTATTAATTCCTTCCTCACTCTTCAAAGGAACTTTCTGTTCAGTTTTTGCACCTTACTCAGATCGTTCCTCATAATTCCAATCATAAAACATACTTAATTACCTTGCCTTGGCTGCCACATAAAATATTATACAGGAGTATTTACTGTACCTTGATAAAATCACACGGGAAAAGGGAAACAACGGAGCACCTTAGCTTTCGTCTTTATTCAAGACATCTTCAGAGGCAACTGGATTACATGGACAGAGAGAGGCTTAAATATACAGGGTGACCTTATTAAACATGAGGTCAGGTCATAATGATGTCATCCACTAATCCCCACACCAACACACACGTAGAGGAGCTTAAGAGAAGGGGGGTGACGTGACTAGTCAGGTCAGGTCAGGTCAAAAATAAGTGACCCACTAAATAACTATCCTACGTCTAGATCAAAGGTTTTCAAAGCATTTTTTACCTTGGGCCACTGTACCTGTATAATTATTGTGCATTTTTTTTCTTTTTCAAATGTACAAACAGTAATAACAAAGTAAATACTGTAATACAGTAATAATGTAACACTTACATTGCGCAGCCACTATGTGGTCAACAGCGGGCAATGTTCTTATTTCTGGATCTTACTCACTAAGTCCGCTAATTATACCAGACAAAAAGACGTTCATTATTGGGAAGTCCATTATTGAGAGGTTTTGCTGTACAGTATTTAATTCTTTTAACTTAAGTATAACATAGGTTCTGGCTTTAACACACATCACAATGGACATCTTGCTACTTATAAATGTCATAGCGCCTAATACAGTAGAACGTCGATATAACACGAGATACGTTCCAAGAGAGGTCGCTTTAAACCGAATTCGCACTCAATCGAAGTGTTGTTTCAATGGAATAATTTAGTTTGGTACTTGAGAGAAACACAAAATACTAAAAGGACTGAGTCTACCCAGATGCACCTCAGCCCATCTCCTAGAGTAAACAAAACATTGCTTTTTTGTAGTATTATGGTAAAACAAACACTCATAAATCAACACAGCTAAAATTACGGGATGTGAAATGGTCTGTTTACTAGCAATCATCTGATGTGAGAGGGTGGTCGTGCTGGCGTCGCGCACCACCTTCCTCTCATCTGACTCACCCAGCACTTTCACTTTCCTCTCAACTTAGTTTTCAATTACTTTATGCTATCAAAAATAGATGTTCAGTCAATTCATCCTCTGAAGATGCAGAGCCCAACTCGACCAGCTCATAATCCACATCACTGTCCAAATTGGCGCCCCATACTTAAAGCAGTATTTCCTCGCTGCAGTGCTTCCAGCACCTTGATTTTCTGCTCCAGTGTAATTACTTGCCTTGAATTGGTCTTTGAGGTAGTTAATGATGTAGTGGCTGGCCTCTTGGACATAGTGGCGATGGTTGATGCACGTGGTAGAAGGAGCGTCAGCTCGAAAACTGAGGATGCGTGAGGGTGTGGGTGGGTGACAGGCAGCCATGTAGGGTGCCCAGAGACTCGTCTGGTGGGAAACATTTTGCACGAAATTTAGAATACAGTTGTGTGTATTTCCATATGATGCGCCAGATTGACACACGCAAAATAGGAAAGATTCGCTTTAAATTGATACGTTGTCCTTAATTGTTGGTGACTCTTTTAATCAATACTGTAATTTTAAATTTAATTGCTTTAAATCAACGTTCTACTGTACTGTTTATCAATGCATGGAAAAAATTAAGGGTTTGCTTTTTAGTTTTAGGAATGCAGCTTTTTGGGCCTTTTTGACATAATTGTATTATTTTGAATATAAGAATATATTTTTGATTAGATATATTATGTATTGTAAGTTATAGTGTAATTCAAGGTTAATTTTCTTTTGCAGAATACAGAGAGAGCAAGAGCGAGTAAAGAAACAGGAGGAGCTGCGGCGAGAAAAAGAGGTGAGTGTATTTGTCAACAGATCTGAATGAAGACCTTGTAATGTTGTAACAATTATTAACCCTGTTTCTGGCAAGTTATCATGAATTTCATGGTTTTAGATTCATTATAATATTCAGCTACTTATTGTCTCTTAAAGTAAGAGTTATATAATGATTCAATTGCATTATTCAGGCCTGATAATCATTTTGTCAATTGGCAGCTACTTGATGGTCCTTCTTGAGATCACAGCAAATCCAGTCTAAAAAAATCTACAGTTGTGTACAGTAGATACAAGTTTGCTGAATAATTTTTTTAAAGATAATTGTAAAAATATTAAAAATAAGGATTTTCAAGAAGATAACTTATAAATTAAAATTCAAGCAAGGTGTGTTGTTTTTATTCCATCTTTTTAATACAGTTAGGGGTTCTAATTAATTAAACTAAATTTAATCAACGCTCACCATTTGATTTTGTCGGAGTAAAGTCAAGTGACCGACAACCCTTTGTATCACTTGGATTTTCACCTCAATACTATAGTAAATACTTCCCTGGTCACCTTGGCTGCTTTATCAACACTCTTATTTGTTGACTAAATACCAGACACGTTAGGCCTAAAATTTTAACTTAACACATGAACAGTGGGGTATGCTATAACGAACGTAATTGGTTCCAGAACCTCGTTCGTTATAGCATTCGTTCGTTATAGGATTAATCCGTTCCAGGCCCCCAAATACAACCGCTTAACACTGAAAAAATTCTGTGGAAAATGTAAAAAATACGGTACTTTATCTTACCTTAGTGTTATTCAGCATGCAGGTACCCCTAAACACTGGCACATCACTATCACTTCCACTGGGAGTCTTGGCTTTAAGGTCCTCAAACAATTGTTTAGCCTTCTCACAAATTATAGCTTCACTAATGTTATCACCTGCCATTTCTTTCTCCTTTATCCAAACTAAGAGTAAATTTTCCATCTCTTCAATCACATTACACCTTGCTTTGCTAAGTCTAAAGATTCCCTTAGCCACTTGCACAGTTTTTAACTCCTCTTTATTCTTCAAAATCGTACATATAGTCGATTTAGCCATCCCATATTCATCACTAAGTTTCGCAATGCTTCTTCCATTCTCACGTTTCTTTATAATTTCTTTCTTAGTTTCAAGGGTTATTAGCTTTCTCACTCGCTTTGGACGACTCATTGTTACAATTGTATACTTGTATAACAAAATAGTTATACAAATAACGCGAATTTCCACATCAAAAGACGAAATTTCAACAATAACAGTGGTGCACTGGCTACACAATGAGACAAAGATGGCGCCTGACGCTCTTGTTGTGGGTCGCGGTACAACAATATTCATGCGCCAGGCGAAATAGTCCGGTATTCATCCGCGTTCGTTGTAGGAGTTGCGTTCGTTATAGCATTCTCAATTTTATAGGTAAAACCGTTCGTTATAGGAATATTCGTAGTAGGATCCGTTCGTTATAGCATACCCCACTGTACGTAGTTGATTGTGAAAAAGGAGAGTATGGAGATAAAACCAGTATGAGTTTTGGTTGCTTAAGAGGATGTAAACAAAGATGGCTGCAGATATGTTATTTGGTTCTTTTACATTTCAGGGAATATTTTCTTTAATTTTTCTTTTTGAATGGTACTGTTATATTTATTGTTCATATTTTTTTCACATCCGCAAAGTGAAATTCTATGATACAAAGCTCCGGTATGAGAGGTCTACCTGTACAGGTGTCCCCATATTTACGATGGGGTTACATTCCTGAAAAACCATATTGCAGGTCGAAATATTGTGAATCGAGATAATTATAACGTGGGGTTCAATGAGATATGTTCCCAGTCAGTCCAACACCCACATGTATTACTTAAAATAAAATTCCTACTATAATACTATTCCTACAACATTCACCATATTATTAAAAACAAGCCGAGTCGTCATCACATGTTTCTTTTGAGGCGAAGGGGACTCCAGACTCTGGAGAGGCTGGAGACAGAGTAAGGACTGGAGGTGTAGGGTTTGTCCTGGCCTAAAAAGAAGGTGAACTTCTTGGATGGGACTGGAGAGGTGTCAGATGAAGAGGACACTGCATGGCTGGTGACCCCAGAAGTCAAGGGTTGTGGCTGTGACTGTGACAGGGAGGTGAATATTGGGCAAATATAGTCACCATGGAATAATGCACTGGACTGTAGTGCACCAGGTGACCATGTGGCAGTGCGTGGGTACATGACGTTGCAGGTGACAAGTGCAGCTAGAGATGCTTTCCATATTCTGCGAGTCAGGAGTTTTGGCCAAAAGATGACCATCGCTCATGCGAATTGTTAATTTCTATTTTTTCCATAAATACATAGGGGTGGTCTTTATGCATCACCATTATTAAAGTGAAATTTCGTAAATAGGGAGATAGTAAATCAAGGGATACCTGTATTTGCTATGTTGATTTTGGTAAAGCCTCTGATAGGGTGAAACACAATACCTATAGTACAGTATTAGACATAAGATTTATAGAAAATCTTTACTGGCATCAGGAGGCTGCAATATTATTAAATAATAAACTTAATAGTTGGTTCAGGGTTAGTCATGGAATAAGACAAGACTGTTTTCCATATGCAACATTGTATAATGCAAATATCTATTCAGAATTTTTAATGGAAGAAGTTGCATTCTTCAGCTACAGATGTGCAGGGAAAGGCTTATTGAATGTTGAATCTTTACTGAGGAAAGTACTGTAATATATAATATTTTTTTTCATCTTTCACAGGACCTTCGTAAACAAAGAGAAGAGGAGAATCGACAGAGGTTATATGAACAACTTAGAAAAGCCCAGGTTAGTAAAATAACAAACTACTGTAGTTTTCTAATAAGTTCACATAGAATATAATCACAACAATTGAAGGGGACTGAAAATGAAATTGCAATGAAAAAGGGAAAAGTATTTGTAATCTACATTTTACCAGAGGTCTTAATACATTTAACAGCTGGCCTCATGTTGGAGATACAAACTGTTTCAGATAACATGTGATTTAAAACCTAGGCCTTAAAATGGAGATTTTTATGACAATCCTGTCAATACTTCTCAGAACATAAAAAGAATAAAAGATTCTCCTGCTCTCAGATAGGGGGCTTTAAATAAGTGTAATGCTTACAGTTATTACATTTTGTTTTATGTTTTATTTGACTTTGGTGTCACCCACACAGTCACTGTATACTTACAGTGTCTACAGTTTGAGGTGAGTGATGCTCAGTTAGGCAGTTGTCTGCCAGCTAATACTTTTGTTCACTATGTAAGAGTTGTGTTTTATTCTTGCTTAATTCTCTCTGGCAGGGAATGATTTACTGGAGATACCCTGAAACCTTTGGTTGGGCACCTTGGGTCTGCCAGTGTTGATCTATTTATTTTTGTCTAACTAACCAACATTCCTTCCTCTCATACATAGTCCAGTTCAAATGCAGAGGTTGCTTAGGAGTGGGTAGGGGAGAAGGGTGGAAGTTTACTCCAAGTTGGTGCCTTAACCAGTCTGACCTCTATGCCAATTGTGCTGGCTCCCCCCTTCATAAATGTATATAAATCCTAGCTGAACACAAAGCGAACTGTTAAACGTTTCCACATGGATTTGGCTGGAAAGGGGTATGGACTTATCCCAATTTTATCACATTAACACTAAGTGGGACCTGTGGGGCTTCATGTTAATTTGTCTGTTGGTAGATTAAACCCAGCCATGAAAATAATTTTGTAGCAAGACGCCAGATTCACACCAATGCGTCTTGGCCGGTACCACCACAACTGAATTCCCACTAGAGTTACCAACTCCTGTTCATAAATGTTACTAGATTCACCCCTAAAAGTAGCTTTACCTGTACAGTACACAATACAGCTCCTCCCCGACTTACGACGGGGTTAGGGACCCAAATCCAGGTCGTAAGTAAAAAATGCTTAAATAATACATATAAAATCTAAAATGGGTGTCTCTTTTTCTTCTCAGCACCACTAGAACTCTCACTTTTAAGCATGCCAGCCATTTTAAAGTGAATTACAAACGAAAATTTTGTCAGTACACAGCTCAGTCACTGACATTGGGTCTCGAAAATATGTAATTTGAAAAAATTTTGGTACGACTGAGGCGGTCGTATGTCCGGGTGGTCGTAAGTCGGGGAGGAGCTGTAATATAAAAAATTAAAATTGTAGGCATATAAACAGCAATAACAAAAGCATATAAATAGTAATGATGAAAGCATAAAGAAGTAAAAAATTTATACAAGTTAGTGTACAGTACATACTGTTGAAGTTTCAGTGACATTGTCTCTCTGCCTTTCCTCAGTGCTTAGTACTGTGGGAGGTGCACAGTATCATAATGGTGGGATAGCACTTTATAACACTCCCTAATTAATGTGAGTTTTTAAGGATATTATTATCATATAAATAAACTTTAATAAAGGCACTATAATTTTAATATTTTCTTAACAGTACATCCTGTGCTGTGATGATTCACATTACGGTAGATGTTATCAAAATGGAATAAGATGAAATAATACCAGTAAGTGTGAGGAATAAGTAAAAATAATACCATAAATAAAAGAAAAAATAATACTTCCTTGCCATTTGTCAGTTGTTTTACTACACACGGGACTTGGGAGACAGCGAACAGCTGAGATCCCACACTCCGCTGACCCCTCTCCCTCCCCTGCTGTGTGTGTTTACTCTCGCACACGAAGAAATGGTTGTTCCCTTTATGTTTTTGGCCTTATTATAAATATTTCTTGTATTTTTTATTGCACATTCTGTATGTAAGATTGTGTGTGCATTTAACTGAGTAAAGAAGTGGAAAAAAATCATGTGCAGTATGTCTACCCGAAATTATGAGTTGAAAAGTAACCGTAACAGCTCAGAGCTCAGTCGATTAGGGAGAGGGCTAGGGGGATGTGACTACAGTGACAAGTCTAACTTGGCAACACTGCCACCAGCCATGTAAACAAATGCAAACGAAAAAAAAAAAATTACCGGTAGCTGTAAATCTTTATTTGTATCAGGTTTTGTAAATTTAAAGTGGCATACATATGCAGGTACTCCTCGACTTACGACCTACTCGACTTACGACCACCCGGTCATACGACCGCTGCAGTCGTATATAATATTTTTCATATTACGTAGTTTGGAGTCCTGACATTAGTGATTGCGCTGTGTACTGACAAAATTTTCGTTTGTAAATCCCTTTAAAATGGCTGGCAAGCGTAAAAGTGAGAGTTCTCGTGGTGATGAGAAGAAAAAGAGACACCACTTTTAGATTTTCCATGTATTATTTTCGCATTTTCGACTTACGACCAATTCCACTCACGACCTGGTCGTCGGTCCCTAACCCCGTCGTAAGTCGAGGACTGACTGTATAGTGAATGAGGTTCTGTTCTTCACATCGCAAAATAAAGAAAGAATCTAGGGGTCTGGTAGGCAAGCCCAGGATAAAGGAGCTTGCTGGTAAGGTTAACGTACCGGGTATCTATCGTTCATTGTAAATGACCCATGGAAATACATGGAATTTAAACCCTCAAAAATATGATGCATTTATAGTTCGACTCCCTACTTTTTGCCTAAAAATTTGGTGACAAAACTCGAACTGTATTTGAGAACATACAATAGTTACGGGTTAGGAATGACTTGGGTTATTTTGTTTTCCTTGTTTATGTGGAGGTGTTAGTTAGGTAACTTTTATGACCTGGTAAAAAGTTGGTGGTTGGTAGTATATTTATTCTTACTTAACTGTACTGGGTGGTACAGTTGTGAAAATGTGTTCCTACACCCCCTGTGGTAACCTGTGTCTCCAAACGGCACCGTCGCATTAGTAGTATTTGTGGATATGTTTGCTATAAGTCATATAGGTTGGCCGTTGGGAAACATGTTATCAGCTGGTATACTATATGTATGGGTTAGTGGTGTCAGAAGGATTAACTTCTTGAGAGGTGGCGGGTAGTGGAGGGAGGAGGAGGACGGGAGAGGAGGAGGAGGGTGGCGAGTTACTGAGACCCGGCGGTGGCACCTCCTCCTGGTTTAAAACCTCCATTTTCGTAGCAAGGCTGATGGTCTTACATTGCTTCTTCACAATATTAGCATCAGTAGCACTTGATGGGTGTTTGGAAGCCATTTCAAATTGTTAGAGTACAGTAGGGTTGGGATGTATAGCGAGTTAGGGTCCACGGATGTTCGCTATTTACTAAATTGCGATATATAATACATGTAATCAATGGGGAAAATAGGGTTAGGTTCTGGAGGCCAATAAAAGTGACTAAACTTGACATAAAATGGCACAGACTAAAGTTAGCAGAATATAATTTGCATTGCTGGAATCCTTGCAAGACAGCGAATAATTTGAATATAGACATCACATATTTTGCACAAGAGATAAAAATTTTAGTCTTTTAGAGTACAGTACATTTAAGTACTGTACAGTTTTTCAACATGTATTTTTGGGGCAATTTAGGAGAGTTTTAGGAGTGTTTCTGACTTTATAAGGTTTTTGGCTTTATGTGAGGTCCCAGGTCGTAAGTCCGACATGGTCGTAAGTCCGACATATAGATAAAAAAAAAAAAAAAAAATTTTTTTTTTTTTTTTTTCAATAAAAAATCTACAATGAAATACAGTACAGTAAAAGTAATGAGGAATGGATACAGTACAGTGAAAGTAATAAATAATATGGAATGGATACAGTGTGACTGAGCACTTACCTTTAATGTAGTCAGCTGAATGCACATGGGGCCCCCATAATTTTCTAATAATACATGGAGACTACATTAACTGGAAACGTTTCGGTATAGAAAATGCGTGTCATTTGAATAAAAAAAAAAAAATTATAAAAACTCTGCGGAGTCGTAAGTCCCGACGGTCATAGAAACCAACAGTCGTAAGTCAGAGATGCAACACTCTCCATATATATATATATATATATATATATATATATATATATATATATATATATATATATATATATATATATATATATATATATATATATATATATATATATATATACACAGTTATACTATATGATCAATTGAACCCAAGGTCCCGCGTTAAAATCAGCGTTAAGTGAACAACAGAACATATGGGATTAATTCCCAGCTAGAAACCGGCCCGACCCCCAAACTCCACTTTTGGAAGGCACATACCTATGTTGTAGTAAAAATAACATCTTAATTTTATGATGGTACATGCACACAATTAATACTTAAGAGAAATAGAGAAATACAGTCGCCAAGTTAATGTCCATTCAAATAATGGACTCGACTCCCTCCCCCTCTCACACTACACAGCCGGCTAACAGATGGTCGGTCGGTCCCTCCCCCCCCCACCCCCCACCAACCTTCCCAAGGAGATGTGTGGGATAACCTCAAACTAAAGTTAGGAAAATATAATTGACATTGCTGGATTCCTTGTAAGACCAGGAATATTTTGAATATAAATATCATATATTTTGCACAAAAGATAACATAGTTACCTAGAGAAAAAATTTTATCTAAAAATTGTAAGTTTAAAGCAAAATATATGATGTTTATATTCAAAATTATCACCAAATTATAAGAATTCCAGCAATGTAAATTATATTCTGACCGGGTAATTTGTATGAATTTTATGAGCTAAAACAAATATCTTCAGTTAATAAAAAAAAAATAATCTTCACGACACTATCTGTCAATCAAAGTACCCCACCTTGCCTCCCCCCCTCTTCCAACCGTGCGGTCAGTCCCAACCCTCCCCCCCACCCCCCACCAATCCTCCCTTCCAGAGTTTTTAACATTTAGTATTAAATAATACCTCAGATTAAAGTTAGGATAATATAA